GAATTTTCCCAAAGCTTTGATGCTGCAGTGAGTGACCAGTTTTCTGCATTTTGAGTGTCACAGTGTTACAGCTGTGGTGGTTTACAGGTGTTTTGTTACTTCCTTTCAGATGAAAGGTTTGGCACTGAGCAACTCAGAAGTGATTCGGCAAGTTCACAACAGTTTTGCCAGGTAACATATGTTTTAAATCTGGCCAAAATTTGAGCAAATCCTTTTTAATCTCAGGGGTTTTAAAATTTTCTTTGCAGACAACAGATGTTTGAGTTTGATGCAAAGTCTTCAGCAAAGGAAGAAGATGCCTTTCACTTCGTAAGCTATGTTCCTGTTAATGGGAGACTATATGAGCTAGATGGCTTAAGGGAAGGACCAATTGATTTAGGTAACATTTTACATTTTTGCTGAACATCTTTTATTTAACAATGGCTTTTTGCAATAAATTGGTCATATGTTATAGGCTCAAAGCAAATTATTTATTAAAATAAAGAATATTTTGAAAGTTTTCTGAATGTGCTGTAGGCTTGTACTTGTTCCTTGCAGTCATTTGTATTGTTCTAGTTTTGTTGGTCTGAAAATACAATTTTCTCCCTGTTTCCTCCATGTCTCTGATGCTCTCTTTTTTCTCTTTTTTCATTTAGTAATCAAATGATCAGGTCCTGCAATCCCTTCTAAAACCTTGATAGTTTTGTTGCAAGACAAGTTTACATAAAAGGAGAATGTATAAAGCTGACTCCAGACACTTTTTTTCTTTTATGTTGTTATATTCTTGTGTTTACGCACTGCCATCTTTCTTCTTAGCAGATGTTTCCCTAATGGTTTAAAAGAAAATAGCTTTGTTCTGTGTAAGACAGTCTTCTGTTTTGTAATCTTTCTTGAGATATGTGTGCCCCGTTGAGTCTTGAAAAGCTCTGCGCTGCCTATCATGTGTCTGTACTTTAGAGTCTGATACGTTGTCAACATGTTCCACACTCCATTCCCAGAGTGTTTTCCCAGAATTGTTGACAATTTTATTTATGTTTAGGCTGAGCAACATCTTGCTGGTTTATCTTGTCTTTAGACTGTCCAAAGGTACTGTACAGTCTTTGGACCTAACAGTAACATCATTTGTGTGGTCACAAGATCATGAGTCTCTAAATTTACTTTAAGGTCTTGAAATTGCTAAAGAGGCATTTCAGCTTAGAAATGACCTGTGCGTATCCTGTCATGTATCTTGAAATCAAGTTCTCTATCATATATCCTTTTAGGGTTTTTCTTTCTGCCTGACTTTTTAACATTATATTGCATCCACATAGATAAAATCAAGAGTTAATATTAAACAGCTGTACCTGGTCCGTAGTGTTTTCATTTGTTGTCTACTTCAATGTTGTCAGACCAACTAATTTCCCTTGTGTCATAAAAATCTTATGTAAAATACTTTCCCCCACCCCATTATTTCTTGTTATGAGCAAAACAAATGTTAGGTGCTTATGCCCTTCAAATTTAGCTTTGTTCCATTGCTTTGGTCACTGCATTATCTAACTGTTGTTATTAATAAAACATCTTCCACCTCCTGAAAAACCACCTGAGTAATTTCAGACTGCAGTAGCTAAAGAAAACTTGTTATATACTCTGAAGTTGCTGCATAAGCCTGAATTATATGAGTGGACTTTGAAATAAATTTTGCCATGATATTCCTTTGTTACATTTTGCAAAGATGAATATTTTTCTGTGTTCTCCCCAGGTGCATGCCATCAGGATGATTGGATAAGTGCAGTGCGGCCCGTCATAGAGAAGCGCATACAAAAGTAAATGGTCGTGATGCCTTTAAAATATAGCACCTTACTATGCTTGAAATTCCATTGTCTTAACTTCCTTCAGTTAAAGGATTTCTGCTGAATATCTAAGCAATGACACTTATGCATCATTTCTTTATGCATATCACTGTGTGACTTGAGAACCTGTTGCCCAACATGAGGCAAATGTGATGATAGATAAATCTCAAATACACTGTGCTGCTGCATAATTAATTCAAGTAGGTGTCTGTGTAGTGAAGAGAGATCCTACGAGTGCTCTGGAAAAGAAGATTGTTATCTGTTGCACAGCTGTGGATCTTTGTGAGTGAAAGCTAAGAGTGTCATGACCATGAATAACATTTGCCTATGCACTTAAAATTATTAGATAGTCATTCTGTCCATACAGCTGGTGTTTAGAAATCTAAAGTTTTTCTTAGGAATGGCTTGTCTTAGAAATTTAAGGTAGAAAAACATACTGTGGAACTTTCCTACTTCTTAACTCTGTTTCCAAACTGCAGTCCCAAATTTGTTAGAAAAAAAGTTGAATTTATGCCATTCCAAACTGCAGTCCCAAATTTGTTAGAAAAAAAGTTGAATTTATGCTATTTTTAGAAAACAATTCTAAGTTTTTGGTTGAAGACTTATTTTTTTGAATTTATGCCATTTTTAGAAAACAATTCTAATTTTTTGCTTGAAGACTTATTTTCTTTTGATAAGCAAAACAGGACTATCAAGCTGGTTTTGGAGAATTTAACCTCCAAAAGGCCTGCTAGTCTAATTGTTGAATGTACTTCTCAGACTGTGTGGAGAAGTCTCCAATATTTTCTAACATGTAACAGTAATGAGAAGGTAAAAACTATTGCGTGAAGCATCTTCTGTAAGTTCTGTTGTTGTGTTTTCTTTTCTTTTTTCGGACAGTTTCAGTATTTGTTTTGTGACCACAGACAGGAATAGTAAATTTTGGGGAGAGAAGGTAATTAGGAGTTACATACTGGATAGAGTTCATTTGTGGTCTGATTTTATTTTGTAACAAGATTGGATCTGTAGCACAACTTAATTTAACAGACCCATTTAAAATTTTGTTTCCATGTAATGAAATCAAGGAGGGGGCTTTTGAGTTGTCATGTTAATAACTAATTTTGAAAGTGGGTTGTCTTTGTTGTTTTGTTTTTCTGTTCCTCATTTAGATACAGTGAAGGTGAGATAAGGTTTAACCTGATGGCTATTGTGTCTGACAGGAAGATGATATATGAGCAGAGGATTGCAGAGCTACAGCAGCAACTGGCAGAGGTAGGCCATGGAATTTAAATTGCTCAAGTAGTTCCCTGATAGTTCTGTCTGATGGCTTTACTATTCCCTTCCTTGCTCCCAATGGAGCAGTAGCAAAAAAGCAGGGAATGATTGCTAGAGATCTGTCCAGCACAGTGTGGATGCACTCAGTGCTGCAGCTCCGAGCTGAGCACTCAGCCCAGTGTTGACCGTGTCATTTTGACTTTCTGCCTTGACTCATTTGCTGTGGTGCTGGAAATGTTTTTTTCCCAGTACCTGCTTGTAACTAACTGCAGAAATTCCTGGTATGTACCTATAATGGTAAACAAAAATGAATCTTTCTGTGATAGAAATACCCTTGAGACAAAACTTGCTTTTGAAAAAGTAAAATTTAAAAATGGAGTAACATCATCCATTTAAATTTTTGTTTTGTGGAAGGAGGAGCCTATGGATACAGATCAAAGTAGTAATATGTTAAGTTCTATACAATCAGAAGTTGCAAAATACCAGATGTTAATTGAAGAAGAGAACCAAAAATTAAAAAGATATAAGGTATGTAGTCTTTGCTTTTCTGATGAAATTATTGGAACAGTTGTAAGATCAAGTCAGCTTATATTTATATGGGAGCTGTGCAATGAATGTGAAGGAACTGGATGGGGGCTAGAAGACTGTTCAGCTGTATAATAATTCTGTTAATGCTTTTAATTTCTTTTTAGATTGAAAATATTAGAAGAAAACATAACTACCTGCCTTTCATCATGGAATTGTTAAAGACTCTAGCAGAGCACCAGCAGTTAATACCATTAGTAGAAAAAGTGAGTATTTCCTAGCTGATAGTATATTACTATGATTCTTTACACCTTCTCTTTTAAATAAAAGAGCCCCTGCCATTTATTTTTCCAAGTTCTTTGTCAGGGACGGCTCCCCACAGCCCTGTGGCAGCCGTGGCACAGCGCTGGGAATTTGGTCCCTCTCTCTTCCCTGCTCCTGTGCTCATTTACTGCCTTGGGTTTCCCCTTTCTAAGGTATCTAGCCATTAACATTGATTTACTGCTGAGGTTTGTATTAAAACTTTAATAAATAAGCAAGGTTTGGCAAGATAATTAAACTGGTAAAGTACTTGAATTGTACTCAGCTCTGTGCTGGTGTGTACTTATGCTTGAGTGCCAGAGGCAGCATCCCTGTTTTTATACTCACTGAGAAGGGATTTCTGAATTAGTGTAGTGAAAAAAGAGCTGTGTGTTATTTAATGAGTACATTCTTTAGCTGAATTTATTTAGGAAGGTACATTTGCAGGCTCATAGTTTTTAAGAGAGTAACTTGTGAAGTTTTAATCCAGTTTCATGTGAACAGAAGTCATTGATAACACCCATCAAGCTGCTTTCACAAGTAAATTACCAGTGAGTTGGTGGTAACAGATCTTAATTCTAATCACCGAATTAGATGCTGTTCTGTTCACTTCAATAAATGGTAACAAGCAGCAGCCTGAATTAATTCATAATTAATGTTTTGACAGTAAGTTGTTGGCTAGTATTGCTTCTGAGTTGTCCCCTCTTCTTGCCCAGTCTAAGTAAATTTGTACGTGCCAGTTCCTTACCAATTTGAACTATTTATGGTTGATATAAGTTAGGAGAATCTGTCTGCAAATATTTTGACAGGAACTTTTATGGGGGTTTTTTCCACTTATTTGAAAGATCTAAACCACTAAGATCTTGGTTCATTTCAGATTTTAATTTTGATCATTTATATGTCTGAATGTGGTGTTTTCTTGTGACATAAAATGTTCCCATTAGGAAGAGTTTTTTCTATGTTAAATGAAACTGGTATGGAGGTATGAAAAATGAAAGTTTAAATTATGTTTTTAAAATAGTGCTTTTCCCCTACAGAAGTTATGTAATCTCAGTTTCTTTTGCATAATTTATTTAAACCTGTATTTGTTTTTAAAAGGCTTTATACACTAACCTAATAAAATAGTAGTAGGATGCTTCTGAAGGGTCCAAATTTACATTTAAATTTTTGTTTTTCCAGCATATATTTAATATTGAGAAATGTATGTAATGGGTAGTCATTCAAAGCTCCAGAATGATCTTCATCTTGTCAAAGCTTGACATGATCTCCCCTTGTTTCCTAGGCGAAAGAAAAACAGAATGCCAAGAAAGCTCAGGAGGCCAAATGAAGATGACTTTACAAAACACATACAGTTACTTGCTTCTGATACTATTTTCATGACAACAAATAAAGCTTTTCATAAACTTCAATTTTTGTCCAGTGCACGTTTGCCAGTTGTAATGGTTTGTCTTGTACTGTTTGCATGGGTCTGACTCTTCCTTCCCCTGCATCTTGTGCATGTAGTACTGCTGAGCAATGTTTAGGTTCTCCTGGTCATATTCAGTATTTAACAGTCTGCCTGAAAGCTTGGGAAGTGGACCCTGAAATGTGCAAGGAAAATGTCCCCATTTTGTCCCACTTGAACATGATAATGATACAAATGCCAGAGGTTTAAGTATAAGCATGAGCTTTCTTTGCTCATCCCTACTAACAGTTAAAATCCTTTCCAGTTATTTGGTGACATAGCCTGTATCTTTGTTTTTATGAAGTATGTGTCTAATTTTTTTACAAAATGGAAAAGTATGAATTTAGCTGTAGAAACATTTGCAAAGACCAATGTATAATCTCAAAAAAAAAACTGCATTGCTTTAGTAGAAAAGATAATAAATATTCCCATTTTTATTTTGGCAAACTTTTTTCTGTGGTATTTTATTATGGGACAAGATGATTAGGATATGAAGGTCATCAGCCTTGTGACTTGAGTATATACATTCTAAATTTGAGTAGAAAGAAGGCACACTATTATATAAGGTATTCCTCTTCTGGAGTATGTTCAATTAAGTCTTCAAAATGAAGGTCATCAGCCTTGTGACTTGAGTATATACATTCTAAATTTGAGTAGAAAGAAGGCACACTATTGCTTTGGGAAGTTAATATTCTTGGATATAAGGTATTCCTCTTCTGGAATATGTTCAATTAAGTCTTTAAAGCACTGCTTTTTTTTTTTTTTTTTTTTTTTACTTTGAGAAGTAGTATAAGGAAAAAGGTGTATGGAAGATTATTGTTGATGACAACATAGCTGTGGAAGACACTTGAGCTGTGTCCCATAGACCAAAGGAAATGCCTGGGGAATGGAGTTCACTGGGTGTCCTGCAGGCGGCATGTGAGCTGTGAACAGATTATTTTGGTATGGATAGGAGCAGGCCATTGCAACAATACACTGTTTGAATTATTCACTGTCAGTGTACGTGTGTTTGTTTAGAAACTTCCAGTTTCTTCCTAAAAGACTAGGAAAAGAAACAGGAAAAAAAGAAAAAGATACAAAACATTGTTACCTGTGGTGCTTCGTATACATTGCATACATATTTATATAAACAGGATAACACTTTGGCCAAAGAAGCAAAACATAGACTGTGCTCTTACACTGCTGGAAGGAACTCTTCGAGTCATTGCTGTGGCTGGAAAGGTAAGCTCAGTTTTAGAAAAACCTGAGATCTGTATCTGTGTTTTGTACAAAATTGATCAGGTTAATGAGAACATAAACTCTTGTGAGAATTTCTTACTTTAGTAATCCACTGCAGCATTATTGTCCAAGGACACAGAAAGCCTCTTGCAGAGGAAGAGACATTTCTGCTTTTAAAATTACATTTTAAACTCTATTTCAACCTTTTGAAAACATTTGTCTGTCTATTTAAGTGGTAGCCTGATGACTTGCTGCACCCTGTCATCCTTGAAGAATTTTGCAATTTGATATTACAGGTCAGCTTAAATTTGTACTGAAGTCATTTCATTCTCCTCTTACTGGTGTGCTTGGGCACAAAAGGAAAAGAAATGTTGCTGAAGCAGATGATTAATTTTGCAATTATCAACAAGTTTTAGTAGCAATTGTTTCAGAAATTAGGAAACTATATTGCAAGCAAACTTTCTGGATTTGTGAACAGACAAAAAATGATGGATGTAAAGATCAAATTTTAACAAAATGTGTTACTCTAATGTGTAAGTGAAAAATGCTTTGTTTTTTAAAAAGGCTGTTTAATGCCAAAGTAGAACATTTCAAAACTAGTGTTTTCTGTTGTATTATGAATGTTTTTCTCATCAAACTTCTAGCAATTTTTTTACTTTTTTGCCAGATTTGTAGAACCATTTTTTCATAATGTGTGTCTAGGCTTTAAAGGCAGTTATTTGTATATTAGGACAGCATCACATGAATGCAGAGCTGGACAGGAAGTTGATCCTGGCGAGGCTGGGATACAGTTCATGTTCTCCTTGGTAGCTGGTGCAGTGCTGTGTTTTGGATGGAGCATAAGAAAAATGTTGGTAACACACTGATGGCTTCAGTGATTGCTAAGCCTCCCACAAGATCACAGCCTCCTCTCAGGCATCCCCCTACTCTGGCATGGAGCTCCTCCATGGCCTGCAGGTGGAATGCTGCATCCCTATGGACCTCCATGGGGTGCAGATTCACAGCTGCCTCACCATGGTCTTCTCCACAGGCTGCAGAGGAATCTCAGTTCCTGCTCCTGGAATGCCTCCTGCCTCTCCTTCACTGCCTCTCGATGTCTGCTGTTCCTCTCACATATTCTCACCTTGCTTTTCTCTGGCCACAATTACAACTGCACAACTTTTTCTTTATTCTTAAATCTGCGATCACAGAGGCATTACCATCATTTCTAATTGGCCCAGCCTTGGCCAGCATCATCTCCATCTTTGGAGACACCAGGGATTGGTTTTGCCAGACATGGAGGAAGTTTCTAGCAGCTTCTCACAGAAGCTGCCCCTATAGCCCCCCCCCCCCCCCCAACATACTATTTGGTAGTATATTTGCTACCAAAACCCAGGCCATGCAAACCCAGTACAGCTGGTTTCAGCCTCTGCCTCCCAAACCTTGTGACTTTTAGCAGATACACCCAAGAGATCAGTGAATTAATCTGTTTGCCCTCAACTGCTTTTCAGTGTTTGGCTCATCAATGTAGGGTAGAAACAGTTTTATCTTGTCTATTAATTATGCAAATAACTGCATAGATGCCTATGTGCTTCCTGTGGAAGGAAGTCAAAGGAGAAGGTGGGGTTTGTGTATGAAAATACAGGACACTCCTTTTCTTTCCTTTTTTCTTTTCCCAGAGCACTATGTTAATGGAAACAATAAGAAAAACAGCTGCCTGGGAGAGTCTGTAACAAACTGCTATATAAACAACCTTCTGATACTGAATTGCTGAAGTCCAACTACATTCAAATTGTAAAAACTAAGGACTTCAGAAGGAAGGTAAGTTATTTTATGGCTCATATTTTTCATGCAGGTAACACATCTGCCTAGCAAAGCCACAGAAACATTGGGGAGAAACAGACTGGAGATACTGTGGCTGTATGTACAAGAACAAGAAGTTTCCCTAACAGAATAGAAAGTGTGCTTCTCAAAATAGCTGGCATTTGTTAACAGGCTAAGAGCTGTGCATTCTGTGTGCCTCAATGAGCATATAAAAAGAATTGATTCATCTCTGAGAAATTGGTGACACTTGCAAAAAATAAATTAGTTTAATATCTCAAAAATGTATACACAATGTAAGCTCTATATGTGCTCACAGGATGTTCTGATATTTTCACTGTTTTTTCTTTAGCAATTATATCAGTAGCTTATGTAGAAAAACAACATCAAAAATAGCTAACTCACCAAACCACAAATACTATCTCTTTCTGTCTGGTAATAAGAGCTAATTCCAGTATTACTACCTTTCACTCAACTTAGGCATTTCTTTCAGTGATTTTCCTTTTTCTTCTTTTGTAGATGTTGCTTCTTTCACCTGCTAGACTCAAACAAGAGTAGGGAACATCATTATGGCACGTTAGATTATAAAAGCCTTCAAGAAAGTGTGAAAAAATATTTTATAAACAATAAAAAGATAGCAACTTCTTTTTACAACATCTGTAATCTTCTTAGGAAAGTTCAAAAAAAGAATAGTTGAAATACCAAATTAAAACAAAATCCTTAAGCGTTAAGATTAATGATGTAATTCTTGATGAAAATTTACCAAAACCAGAAGAACATACACAACAGGAACAAACTGTACTGTACATTTACAATACAGAAATTTCAGTGTTTCCTGCTGAAATCGAACTGCTAGAATGATGTGTAACAGCTTTCTACCAGTACAGAAATGACAGGAAACTGAGAATACTGTGCTGAAAAGAAACTTAAAATTGGAGGAGGAAATTCTTATTAAAAAGGTGGGGAATTGCATGTGTGCCTGACAAAGAAGACGTGATATGTACAATCTGGTAAAAGACTAACAGAAATTACCATACAGCTATGATCACCAAAAAATAATCTCAGCGTACCTAAACAAATTTTGATGGGTTTTCTTTGAAAATAATATTTTTACCTGTTTTTCCAGCATATGCCGCAGCTCCATATATAAAAATATGTGTATTACATATATATATTTGTGTATTAGAAAATTGGTTTTTGTTTACATATCTCTTTTGAAAAGCCACTGAGGAGTTAAAAACATGTCCCTCTGCAACTTCCTGAACAACATACTTTTTAAAATAAAGTCTCTGAGAACTGAGATCTGAATAAGCAGCAGTTCCTTGAGATCCACACTAATATAAAAACACCTAAACAGGCTTTATGCAATTATTTATGTGTTAGGATTAGCTATGGTTGACTCTTGATTTTCCTGTGGAAACTGATAGTCCTGTCTTGTATCAGGTGTTCTCAAACCAAACCAGTACCAAACCTGGAGTCTTTATGGATAACACAAAGCAAGAATAATTCCAGAACATCATCAGCACATTTACTGCAGAAATGTGATGTGATTAAAGAGATTTAAGACAGTCCTACCTTTTACGTGTGGTAAGAGTGCTTTCCCTGGGAAATTTCATTGGTAAAATTATTCAGATGGCACTTGAGTCATAATGTAATTACAGCATCAGAGTGGAGGATGCCCAAGGTGCAGTGTTTGGAACAGGAGGCCAGGCCATTCCTCATCTTGCTGCTCCTTGCATTGTGAACATGAAAAGTTGCTTAACCTTTACAATTTAGCTTACCCTGCAAAGGCTATGGCTTTACATGCAGCTAAGCAAAGGTACTAACTGTACCACCTCACCTGTCTATCATTTTCTCCCAGTTTTATAGTACATGAGTAAACCTGCCAGAAAGCAACAAAAATTACATTGTTCATTTAGGTGGTTTTCAGCTTTATACACACATGCACTGGAATTCTTATAAAATATAATTGCCTTATATGTTGGGATGATAAACAATTATGTTACCTTCCTAAGCTCATTAAGAGGCTGCTGTAAAATGTGATGCAGTAATGTTATGAAGGAAAAGAACAAATTTTAACTTAAGTACCATTGGAGCAAGGAAAGGAAATAAGGGGTCATACTTCTGCTTTTCTGTTGAGACAGAATAGGAAAGGAAATACAGCAAGGAAGTCAAGTGCAAGATAAAGTTGTGGCAGCACACAGCACTTGGCAGAGGCTCCTGCCCCTGCCCAAGGGGACTCAGAAGCCAAGGAGATGGTTACTTCAGCAGAGGGCACTGGAGTGTGGTGTGTGGTGTAGTACTGGCTCTGCCTTGCTCTGCTTAGTGGAACTACAGACTTGCTCTGCTGCAAATTCTGGTACTTCTGTTGCTTCAAAACTTTTATCCCAAAAAGAGAGGAGATGTGCTGAATGACACTGGAAAGTCTGGGATTGGAGCAAAGCAGTCAATGACACGTAAGCAAAAAGGGCAATAAGGAGGAGAATCTGGGGCATGTACTCATCAATCAGCATTCTGCATCCCACAACACCAGTGGGACCAGGAGGATGATGAGATGGGATGCTTAAGGAAGTGAAACCTCTAATGAGAAATCATCAAAACCAAGTTTCTTACCTTCCTTATAATTTCTTCTTTTTCCCACAGCAGCTGCAGTCAGAGGGTATATTTACATAGACCTTTGCATTCCAAGTATGCTGGAAACACAAATGTTAATAATTGTATTGATATTCTACACATTTATTATGAACATCATCAATGAACTGCAAAAAAATTTTTCAACAAATCTGCTATTTGGTGGGTTATATAGTATTAATTATTTGTGCAAATTGTAAACTTGTGAATGCTTGGGAGAGAAGCTTTCAAGGAGGAACACTCATTTTACACATGGACTTCACGTTCCTTTAGATGCTCCAGGCTTCTTTTATACAAGGGAAACCAAAACCCTGTGTGTTGTGTTGGAGATACTGAGCATGTCCCCAGTGTAAGGCTGTATTTGGCTAACATTGTTTTATTATTTAAAATAAGCATGTAAAACTAGCTCCAATAGTTGCATCTGTATCCCATGGGCTTGGATGACATTCAGCATGCTCTTTAACGAGCATTAGATTTTTTTTTCAATGATTATGTTGGATAGATTGAGTCTTCTGCTTTTTGTCAATGGAATTTTATAAAAGTGCAGGAATTTAGGTTTTGTTAATGTGATGGTCAGTTTATTTAACATGATGGTCAAGCATATACAAGTGCTAAGGATTTTCTTTTTTATTATCTGTGGTTTAGAATTTTCTCTGTGTGAAATAACAAGGACATGCTTGCAGCCACCTGGAGAAGTATTTCAATCTTGCCTTCCATTCTGATATCACAGGTTTCAAAATGAGAATTTTTCCTTTATCAGCTTGACAAGTCACATTGCTAACTAAAATAGCGAACTGAAATACTGCCAAGACATTTAAAAAATACACATTTCTTTTTTTAAAGACAGCTATCCTGGTACCACAGTTCTAGAGCAGTTTTATATAGAAGGAGTAATATAAAAATTGAATTGTGAGATGATACCATTTGACAGTTACATTGGTATTTTAGGTATTTCTCTCAGTCATAGAGGCTAAAATGGGGAGTCATTTTTAATGTATAGTTTGAAGAACATTACTAGTGTGGCCACAAATGTCAGATCTTAGAACCATGCCTACACATTATCCCTTTTCGGATGGGAAAAAGGAGAGAGAGAAAGGAATTGAAAATTGAGACTATATGCAGTAGAATAAAAACTAATTCTTGTGGGCTTTTAGGAACATAAAAGAAAGAACAATGTAAACAAGTGGAGATGAATTATAGCCGATTTAATGATAAGCTGAACTGATATTTGAAAACAGTAATCCTAAAGACAAATAACATTTTGTGCTTCAAATGCTAAAAGCAGTGTATCACACAGGAAGAAATGCTGCATAGCTGGGGAAGGCAGACACTAAAAATAATCTAGGTTATCTAGGGGGATCAGATCCCAGCAAGAGAACAAGCTCATCTACAAATTTATGAACTTTCAGGAAATATAGCAAAGAATAACCATTAGAAAAGCCTGACTCTGATGGAAGTCTAAAGTGGGGTTTGAGAATTCAAGTGCTCATCTGTGCAGTTACATAATAAGAACAATAGGTGATTTCATATCCCACTTCTTTAAATTTCAACCATGTATTACTGTGGTAACCTGTGCTGTGCTACTGAAAATTGTTGTTAGCATGTTCCTACTGGTAATACAATTAAATGTTGAGGGAAAACATAAACTACATGAAAAATGAAACCTTTCCACAATAAGGAACCAAAAGGCCAAGTGGTAGAAGTCCCCAGACTGGAATATTAAAACCCAGACTGAACAGAACACCAGAACGCTGTGCAATCGCTTGCTAGAAACTAGGAAGTAACAGGATTCAGGCCCTGACCATTTCTAGCCTCTGTGACATTAAACCAAGGTTGCAAAGAACACCTACCATTTTAGCTATTCCTAATGCCATCTTCTGCTTCTGATCAGGACACTGACAACTCCAACAAGGTTCACATTTCTACTGTAACATTTAAAGAGGAGTCTGCAAAAGATGGCAATTGCTGATTGAGAAGTTTCTGTGGTACACAATATCAGAGTGGTTGGAAGCACCTTAAAGCTCATCTTGTTCCAAACCCTGCCACAGGCACGGACAAGTTCCACTAGACCAGGTTCCTTCAAGCCCTGTCCAGTCTACCTTGGACATTTCCAATTTACACTTATTTTCTAGCTCATCGTAAAGCTCTTGCTAAGTCAAAGGTGCTCTTTGTAAATATCCTGATCTTCTGTGTTCATAAGATCTCTATGCCTGTGACTGTGGCTAGAAAACTCAGTTTTCAGAAATTAATAGCTTTTCTTAATACTTAATATTTTATTTAAACACTGATCCTTGATACATGTTAAGGTTGTTTTGGTGGAAAAGCCTAAATAATAGAGATTATTTCTTTAGTAAAACAGATAGAACTAACACTTTTAGTTACTAGCACATTTCTTGTAAAGTTAATGAAAATCTGTCTATGGTCAGTACAAGAGTCAGAAATAGGAGCTGAAGAGTAACCTTGCCCAGTGTAGTTTTTCCCTGTGTGTAGGAATTTCTGTCTTCTGTCTACATGTCACAACCCAGTTTTCTTTTGCAGGCCTGCTCTCTCAAGTCCCTGGCTCTGGGCATGGCTACTTGTGACTTGACAATGTCCTATTTATATTGTATTTCCAGGTCATGCAATGCTGCACTTCAGATGTTGGACTGACATTAATACACTGGGTGCTCCTCAGTGTTATACACGGAAAATAGAAAAGCAGTGATTCCCTGCACAGCATCCTGCACAATGGCATCACAGCAGGACTGATCCCACAGAGTCTCTAGCTGGACATATATATGATAAAATAGATGGGCAATAAAACAGGACCACTGAATACTATTTTTGGTCTTTAATTTAAATACAGCTTCCTTAGTATTTTATACCATATAATGTTTCATGTTCTCATAAACAGGCATCAAGTGGATGTGCCTTGAAATATCCTGATGCTAAATAACTACCTCTTGTAACTTTTGTAATTTAAAACTGTCAATCAGTACGTGCTTAGTAAATGCTGCAATTCGAGTGACTGCAAGACATTCTATAATTGCGTTTTAAAATTTCTTCTGTATGCCAACTAGTTCTGAATGTGATACAGGAAAGCTTGGAGCGTCCCCAAACACCTTACCTGTGGTGTTGGTTAAAGCTAAGGATGATTTGTGTCCTGCAGCACACAAAGCTACGGGGGACCTTCTCCAGTACCGAATTCATCTCTACGCCTTCACTTGGGACTGGCGGGCAAAACCCCGAAAGCTTTGCCCTGCACGGCCACGTAGGAGGGAACTTAATTTGCGTTATTTTTCGCCGAAGTCAGAAAAGTAACCGGCTTGAGGCAATAAGTTGTGATGGTATGAGTCAACCGCAGGGTCCACCAACAGAGGTTCCTGAGGGAGAGAAAATGGCGGGCGGGGGCCCACAGCAAGCTCCCAAAACACAGAGCGCTCCCCAGGAGCCACTCCTGGTGTGAAAAGCCTCGACCTCCACCCCCGAGCCCGCTATCTATGACAACAGGAGCTGAGAGGGGGAAGAAGACCCCACCTGAAAGGAGGAAGGCATTGGAGACCGTCCCTGGCGGAGCGCGAGGTACCCTGCCCGAGACGGGCGATAGTTCCCCTGCCCTGCCCTCACGGGCTCCAGGCCGTGACTCGGCTATTTCTCCCCGTCCCGTCCCGTCGCGTCCCGGTTGCGGGGGAAGGCGGGCGCAGGAAGGGGCGGGTGGTGCGGAGAGGGAGGGAAGGAGGGAGGTGGGCGGTGAGAGAAGCAGTCGACGCACAAGATGGCCGCTGCCGGAGTGGCAGCGGGGCGGCGGCGGGCGATGGCGGCGCTGCCCCGGGGCCCGCGTGTACTACTGGAGGAGCAGCAGCAGGGCGCTGTGGCAGCCCCGGTGTGCCGGAGCTGAGGGGGCCGGTGGGCGCTGCAGGAAGCCCGGCCCGCGTGGTGAGTGCGCTGCCTCCGCCGCGGGGTGCGGGGAACAATAGGGCGGGAGAGCTCTGCCCGCCTTGCCGAGAAAGGAGGCGGAGGGGCGGGCGCTGGGACGAGATGGTCTCCAGAGGTGCTTTCTACTTCTAACAATTCCGTGACTTTGTGCCTCGCCGGGCCTCAGGCTCCTGCCGGGCTCGATTTCCGAACGCCTCGGGCAGGCGGGGAGGGACCGCGGTTCGCTGTGCCCGATGGGGGGGAGGCGGAGAGCGACTGGGTCCGGCTGGGGGTGGGGAGAGGCGGCATCGCCTCAGGCTGCGGCGGCCGAGGGACAGGCGGCTTTTGTGTGCCCCCTCTGCCTGTTGTTTTTTCCAGGGGCTCTGCCTGCCTCTCCTTGAGAAAATTCGTCCCTCTGTCGCGTTGAACAGCAGAGACGGAGGGAAATTAATGATAGAGCCCTACCCGTCCCCGGGACACCTCTCCGCCCTGGGTTGTGGCTCTTTTGTCTGTCGTGCCTGAGGGAAGAGCGAGGTGGCCGCGGCTGCCGCTGCATGGGGACAAACGATGGTGAAGCCGCACAGGATCTCCCTGACTTGCACTAGTTTTTCCACCCTGGCATTGTTTTGGCTGTTGGATTACACCCACAGAGTGGGTAGGGTTTCATGCCGGGGGTGCGGTGTTGGTGTAGCTGGGATTTAATTTGCTTTGATGGTTGGGAATGTCCTGGTGTCAGGTTTTGTCTTCAAAAGCCATTGTGAGGTCTGTCTTGTTTTAAAGCAGGGAACTGATGCAGGCTTTGGTTTTTTCCCCTAGGAACTGGGAATGTTTTGTTTACCTCTGCACGCCTTTTTGTCCAGAGTGTATATCTTATTTTTATACATTTTAGTCAAGTATGCGTGACAAATCATTTGTTCCTCCAGCAGAAGCTACGGTTTTCTGTGGATTTTTTGCCATATTGAAAATGGCTGAAGTGGGGGAAAAAATTAAAAATGTGCAAAAATAATTAAAAGGTTCAAAGTAACCTGGATTGCAGCCGAGCTGCTTTAATCATTGTAACTGGTGTAGCAATGCTGTCATTTAATGACTCTGCTGGAAGATAAATGCAGTATTTATACTCTATTCACGTTATTTGGTTATAGAATTGTGAGATAATACAGGAATACTCTAAGGCAGAAGTTAATGTATTCCTAAACTTGCATTTTCTTACTTCTTTCAGGCTTATGAGGATGTGGAGGTGGTTAATTTTGTCAGCTATAAATGTCTGTATTGCTGCGTTTGAAGTCAATGAAGCTAATGTGGGACTTCATGGCTGTATAAATAACCTGTGTTCAGGAGCAGTTGGCACATTATTGCCGGTTTCTAAGCTTCACCAGGAGCTCCATGGCTTTCTTCAGTGCATTGATACACAAGGTTGATAATGAAGTTATGGTTCCCACTAACATAAATAGAAGCAGACGTTATCAGGCACGTTTTCCTTTCCCAGTGATAGCTTGTGGCTTTGCCTTCCTGTCCTAGAAAAGGATCTGTCAAAGCAGACAGCTTGACAGGCTGCTTGGAGGGGAATTTAGAAAGGCAGGTACCATCAGAGCAGTCTGTTTTGACAACCAGAGACTTGAGTTTGTCAATCACTTATGAGCAGCAGGAACCTTCATTGACATAAGTGGGAAGTAACTTGTATGGTTTCTGGTGTTTTGTTGTTTGTTTTTGTGAGGTTTTTTTGGTCAGTTTTGTATCCAAACTAGCTTAGTTTAAAGCGAAATATTTTAGAAATTTCTGATGGGATTGTTGTGTACTGATAATTTAAAATCTAATGTTCCAGTGAACAGATGAACATATGAATCTGGAAATTGCAGACATTAATATCACACAGTTTAATTTAGGGGCATCTTGAGGCATGTATTATTATATAAAAGTGCTCATGCTCAAGCTGAAGAGAAATGAGCAGGAATGCTTTTGGAAACTTCTGACGTGTTGCCAATGATTCACCAGCAATCTGGGTGGAGCCATTATCAATCTTGTTGAATTAAGCTTCACAGAAGTTGAGATTCAGTGAGTATATATTAAAATAATGCTTTAATTACTTTGTATGGGGTTCAGAAGTCTTGGGTGGCACTGATGCTGGCTAGCTTTTGTAGTGATGACAAAAATGGACATCCCATTTAATTAGGGTCTCTGTCTCTTAACTAGTGCTGTAAAAGGTTGTTTCATGATACTTAGGAAATATGTAGTGATATGAAGGATAATTATCTTTTTTTTCTTTTTTTTTTTTTTATTCTGCACCAAGAATTACAGTTTACATGTTGGATACCCGGGGAAAAAAAAATGTTTCAGCTATTTGAAAGAACTTGTGGAGTCATAGCTTTCCAATGGTATGACATGTAAAGCTGAATTAGAAGGAAAGAACTCACCTGCATGTAGGTTCCCAAACTTCCCAGGAATCTCAGAACAGTGATGCAGAAGCCACTATAAGGTATCTTTTAAGCAGGTGACCTTTATAAAACTTTGTATTTTTTTGCAAAGCCTACTCATTGTTTAAAAATCCTCTCCCACCATGGATTCATGGAATCATTTTGCAGATGAAAGTCTGTGTGGGTTTGTGGTGGTTTTTCCCACACCCAGTAAATCAGGTTGTTTGCTGGAGCATCCCAAGTAACATTGGCTGGTGGGCCAGAAAAAACAAATCTCTGACTCAAAGTACAAGGCAGATAAAACATAGGGGAATTAGTAGTTTGAAGTTAATGTCTTGGACTGTACTAGGTAACAAATGGGAAACCATTATCATGCAGGAATAAAGATATAATATTCTGCTATTGTGAAAGATTATTATATAAACACACTGCACCAACTGAAATTTCAGTGTGACCTTCAAGATTCCATGGAGGCTCTGTTACAGTAATGAAGTCTAGGGACTCTGCTAGCTGAGAAAGAAAACCACAAATGTTTACTTATGTTATATTACTTTCCTTTCTGAGCACAGGTTCCACAGTGTGCCCAGAATTAGGTGCAGTTCCCATCACTGAGGCTGACCACTTGTTTTGCTGCAGAAGTATGTCTCTTGATAATTACTTTTTACATCAGTCTCATTTTCTTCATTACCAGTATGGTTAAAATTGAAATGGTATTAGATTTCCACAGGCTAACTGATTTCCTAATGAAGCTTTTTATTTGTGGAAATGGGTTAATGGGCAAGAAGGTGCAAAAGTCCTGATGGCTTATTATAAATAGATTTTTCTGATATAAAAATAATTTCTGGTTAGAGTGCTTGAGGAAACAGCTTTCCTTTTACTGCATGGTAGCATCATATTTGGTGCTATCAGCTGGAGAAGAAAGAGATTTTGGTGATAGAAATAGCAAGAATTCTAAATAATTTACTGTAAATGTGTGTTGTCAGGGGCAGTATCAGTTGTGCACTGCTCTGTGTTAGAAAGTGTAGAGGGGTGTTTCATGCAGGTATGATGGGTGTGCTGGCCTCACATTGAGATGACTTTCTAATGGAATGAGAAGGAAGGCAGCTGCAGGGGGTCTAAGGGAAACTTCCAGTGGATAGAGATGACTTCTCGTATGCATCAGGGCATATATGCATTTACGAAAGGGCCTGGGCATCCTGCGCAGGCTTTTACATGAAAACTTCTGCCCCACGTGCTAGGTTACCTTTTCTTCCCCAGGAAAAAAAAAAAAAAAGAGTATTTTATGAATCCTAAAAATTACATGGAGAATAAGATCTCTCTTTATCACTTGATTGTACAAAGTAGGTAAAGGCCTATGTAAGCTACAATGTAAGCTACCTTGTTAGAATGAAGACATTTGTAGGAATGTGGACAAAAATCTTTGTATGAGAGAGAGAGATGTGAGGAGGAGAGGGGAGACAAGAGGGTTGTTTTGACGCACAAAAGGATTATTTTTTTCTTTTTCTGCTACATAAAAATGGAAGATACGCAGTTAAACTGAAAAGTTGTGGAAGTGTTGCTGGAGGAGCAGATCTTTCACTTGCTTCACATAGATTGTGACAGAGTTGCCATGTAATTTGATACAAAGAACACAGAAGAGAGTGTTTGTGTCAGGGAACACTGTGGTGAGTCTGGAATTCAGTATTACAGAAGCGGGAGGATTTATTGACAGTTATGCCTTCCAGCCATGGTCACTAAAACCACCATAAGGACATGTTGTTCTTGCCTCTTGCTGAATAGACCCCTCTCACTACAGATTGCTTGCAAAACCACTTTTTGAAGTATTCATTTTCAATTACTGATTTTCTGGTGTTTGTGGTGTGCATATTATATTGATCTGAGACAGGACTATTTCAGGTACAAGAGAACTAAAGAATCAAAGTGTTTGGTGTAGCTGAAGTGTGCTAGGCTGGGAAAATGAGATCTCGCAGGTGGTTCCTTATTTCTTTTAGTTTGTTTTTTGTTTTAATGTGAAAAGTCTGGTTGGTCTCATCTCTCTATTGTTCCAGTTTAATAGGTGTTTTTAAAGTGTCTAATTAAATACTCTTTCAAAGCAGGCTGTTAATCTTAAATAAAAATCTGGACATTCCAAATGTAATTATTTTTCAGGATGCTTCCGTGTTTACTAGACCCTGTGAGGATAAGCTTTGAAAGTTGAGGTATGGTTGCTTTTAAACCTGTTGTTAACAAAATGCTGGTTGATTAGCTGATGGGAGCAGGAGTGTTTATAGCTTGGATCTAAAGGTCTTCTCAGCACTTTCTCCTGAACTCATTTTGAGCACTTACTTTAGTTCAGATAGTGAGCAAGTTGGAAGGGTTTTCAACTACAACTTTTAACTTCCTTGCTAGGAAGGAGATATC